TTAGGAGGGTCTCAATGGAGTAATGGCTTTTACGGCTAACAGTTAAAATTTTGGCCATTTTACGACTAACGGTTAGCATCTTTCCATGCGGAGTTGTAGCAAAATATTGTTGTCGCAGGCTATTACCAAGTAACGAGCTTACTTACCAGATGAATGTCGCTGAAAACGAATCTACTCATGGCTGATAAGAAAGATAGACAATTTGTGAGACCACAAAGCTTTTCGACGAATTCATTGCACTTCCGTGGCAATTTTTGGACAACATGACATGACTTAATAGTACCAAGACAGGACAAGACAAATTAGTAATCATTTTTAGCCTTTGCGATTTGAAAATTACTCATACCACAAGTAACCGTAAGGTTAATGTTAAATTACGGTAAAGTTACCCTAAAAAACAGTAAAAAATTATCGATGTCACAGCTGTTACTTACGAAAGTGAAATGAAAAAAACAGTGAAAAAGAGTCGGCGCTCTTCCCTTAAAAAAATCTTGACTAATGTTCAAAACACGCAATACAGTTCTACATGTTTTTGACCGTTTAAGAGATAGAGAAACGTTTTGGTTGTCATTTTACCAGTAACCTGATGACGTGATGGAAGTAAAAAGATTGCGATCTCCCTTCTCCCACATTTATACAGGCATTTAATTATGAGTTTGTGAAACAGCAATGACAAAAAATTTAGATTTTAGAGCCAATGTCGTTTGAGTTCATTTGAAAGCCTAGCAATACCTCTCAACCAATTTAACGGCTGGCCTTCGTAAACAAGTTGAATCTAAAAAGTAAGCGCAGTGATCACTTACACTTCCCTCAGTTCCACAAAGAGAATTATAACATCTTCCTTCATTAGCACGCGGACTGACCTCTCTTCTTATTCGACCTTGGTACCCTCACAAAAAGTGAACAAGGTAACGTGAATTACTAATGAAAATTATGGACACTGGAAAACAACGAACTGTAACACTGCGATTAACCCCTGACATCTGTAAAGGACAGTACGCATTATGAATATGTCTTAATATAGGATTGATTTTAGTTTTTGATCACGTGATTGTAGAGACCATCAGTTTCTCCAATTAAGCAATGCTTAACAAACATAGCTAATGAGGTTGAAATATATTGAATAAAACCATAAAGGTTTAAAGAAAGCAATTTAACGGTGGAGATATGAAGCATTCGTTCAAGGGAAAAGTACACTTTTACTATGTGTGCAATTACAGTGAATTTAAGTACGTTTCAGTTTCTCTAAGAAAATTAAAACATCTCTCTTCGTGAGGGCGCATCGTCATGACTTATCTTCTTATGCGAGACTGGCGCTTTAACAGACAAAGAAACAGATTACGGCCTTAGAAAAATATGTACAGTAGAACCCGCCGCAAGTAACCAAAGATTTTAGTGAAGTGTATCTCGACCATGAAACGCTTGTGTACAAGTAGAAAACGGAAATTCAACTCGAATCTATCGCGATCTCTAAATTGTTCGTTGAACTCTCCTGAAACAAAGTCAAGTTAATAGCTAATGCAGATCGTAACCACTGGAAAACCACGTAATGAAGCACCACGGATTTGCTTTAGCGAGGGACAGTTCACAACATAAATAGAGGTTTGACTTTAGTTTTATGATCATCAATTTCTCAAATTGAACGATACTCAATAACTTTAGTCAATGAAGATAAATTATACGGTATAAAGCCACAGAGATTTGAAAAAGTCGCCGTAGAACGAATTTATTGCACTATGGTGGTGATTCGATCGCGCCATCAACCGGTTTAATGAAGGGCTAGCTCTCCAAACGAGACACAACTACATATTGCAAACACAAGGATCGAAAAAGCCGTTACTGGCCTTTGCCATTAATTAGTGCCTTACTAAATAACTAAAGCTGATAAAAAGCGAGTGACAAGAAAAGATTTTCAATCGCACTTACCAAGATGTTGACAATGTGGCTGATGCTTTGAAAATGATTCGAAACAACAAAAATAACGAATTACACTTGGGACTTTTCTCAACCTTCCGAACTTCCGCTCTCTCCGTGCTTTGGGAATCCAGATCACTTGTGTTTGAGGTTATTCCCTTCCCCCCTCTGGGCCAATCGAAATGAAAACGAAAACTTTCAATTGCATAATTTTTTCGTGTTCGTATGCCCGTCTATCGCGTCCTATTTAGGTTGAAATTTTGAACAGTTAGTGGTTATATGATAAAATGCTTATTGATGTGAGTTTGCTTGGCTCTCGTTCATGAAGCAAGGACTTCGATGCGCTCGGTCCGTAGGTCATGACACCGAGCCAAGTATTAGTTCTCGTCCGGCCCTTCCTTTCAATCAATAAGCACACAGTATTTCGGTTTTGTGCGTCAAAATTTTTATCACTAATGATGACACCATGTCTTATTGAACTTTCCACTTTCTAGCGGGTGTTATTTGTATGATCGAAGCCAAAAATGCTAAAAAAAAAACAAGTGACTGTATTCCGGTTTGGCACGTCACGCTTTTATAACTAAGGATGAAAAATGAAACATTTTACCCTGTTTAACGGGAAACATCAGGCTTAAGTGTTCATCCCTTTAATTTTGGGACGGTTAGATTTGCATCACGAGATCGATCAGATCGAGAGTACAAATAAAGCTTCTGTCCTCAAACGGTTAGCTATCTGTGCGTGAAAAATGGCCCGTTGTAATAAAAAAACTTTTCATTTTCGTGCGAGTATTATTTGCATGAACGAACACACAAATAGCAACTGTTATAATACATAAAAAAAAAACGGACGGAATGGACCGGTAATTTGCTCGAAAATAACTACATCACTTGTCTTACCGTTTGAAAGTATTCATACAGTGACTGAAATATGGCAAAAAGCAGATGACATCAGAGAGAGGACTTAGCTTGACTTTCAGTAATAAACAATAGTCATAGTTATCAGTTTAACATATTTCTTTTGGGAAGAGGAGGAGAGGTGGGGGAAATGGACTGGACTACATTTACGTTGTAGGATCCACGCATCCAGAAGGCGCTCTCCTGAAAACTCGCAACGGCATTTCCCGCTGCTTTTACCTTTTAATTTTTTGATATTAAAACCATTCTTTACGACTGTTTCTTTTTTAACACCTTAAATCGTTTGTTTGTAAACCTTCGGCTGAAATTTTTAAATAAATCTTATTCACAAAGTTTGTCTGATGGCCGGCATTTGAACTTTGATTTGGAACTGATGTTCTTAACTCGCAGCTAAGCGTAGCATAGAAACAGGTTTCTGCAGGGACTCTGATATGTAAATGTGCCATTCGCTTACTCACTCACTGATTCATTCAGGTGTAGACATTATTGGGAATAAGTAACTTTAATCTAACGTGTTCATAATGATCCAAACAGAAGTTTTGGATGAGGAAACTCAAAAACTTTTTCCCCCCAGTATCTTGTTTGTCTACATACAACTTGCTAATATTCTCAGGACACGACAAATTAGCAATCATTTTTAGCCTTTGCGGTTAAAAGGTTACTCATACCACAAGTAACCGTAAGGTTAAAGTTAACCCTACGGTAAAGCTACCCTAAAAAACAATACAAAATTATCGATGTCACAGCTGATACTTACGAAAGTGAAACGACAAAAACAGTGAAAAACGGTCGGCGCTCTTTCCTTAAAAACATCTTGACTAATGTTAAAGACGTAATACAGTTCTGCACGTTTTTGACCATTTAAGAGATAGAGAAACGTTTTGGTTGTCATTTTACCAGTAACGTGATGACGTAATGGAAGTAAAAAGATTGTGATCTCCCTTCTCCCACATTTATACAGGCATTTAATTATGCATTTGTGAAATAGCAATGACAAAATATTCATATTTTGGAGCGAATGTTGTTTGAGTTCATTTGAAAGCTTAACAATACTTCTCAACTAATTTAACGGCTGGGCGTCATAAACTGCTTGCATCTGAAAAGTAAGCGCAGTGATCTCTTACACTTCTTCCAGTTCCTCACAAAGAATTATAACATCTTCCTTAGTGAGCACGCGGTGTCATAGACTGACCTCTTTCATATGCGAGATCTTGGTACTTTCACAAAAAGTGAACAAGGTCATGTGAATTACTAATAAAAATTATGCACACTGTAAAACCACGAACTGTAACACTGCGAATATCCTCTCAGTGACATCAGTGAAGGACGGTACGCATTATGAATATGTCTTAATATAGGATTGATTTTAGTTTTTGATCACGTGATTGTAGAACCATCAGTTTCTCGAATTAAACAATGCTTAACAAGCATAGCTAATGAGATTGAAATATCTTGTATGAAACCATAAAGGTTTGAAGAAAGCAATTGAATGGTGGAGATATGAAGCATCCGTTCAATTTTTTCTATGTATGAAATTACAGTGAAATTAAGTACGTTTCAGTTTCTCTAAGAAAATTAAAACATCTCTCTTCGTGAACGCGCAGCGTCATGACTTATCTTCTTATGCGAGACTGGCGCTTTAACAGACAAAGAAACAGATTACGGCCTAAGGAATATATATGTACCGTAGAACCGACCGCGGGTAACCAAAGATTTAAGTGAAGAGTATCTCGACTATGAAACGCTGGTGTACAAGTAGGAAACGGAACTTCAACTCGAATCTACCGCGATCTCTAAATCGTTCGTTGAACTCTCCTGAAACAAAGTCAAGATAATAGCTAACGCAGATCGTAGCCACTGGAAAACCACGTAATGAAGCGCCACTGATTTCCTTCAGCGAGGGACAGTCCACAGCATAAATAGAGGTCTGATTTTAGTTTTATGATCATCAATTTCTCAAATTGAACGACACTCAATAACCTAAGTTAATGAGGATAAATTACACGGTATAAAAAAACAGAGATTTGAAAAAGTCGCAGTAGAACGAATTTATTGCATTGTGGTGGCGATTCAATCGCGCCATCAACCGCGCGCCGCTTTAATGAAGGGCCACGTTCGAAATGAGACATAACTACATATTGCAAACAGAAAAGATTTTCAATCGCACTTACCAAGATGTTGACTATATGGCTGATGCTCTGAAATGAAACAACAAAAATAACGAATTAAACTCGGGACTTTTCTAAACCTTCCGAACTTCTGCTCTTTGTTCTCTTTTGGGAATCCAGATCATTTTTGTTTGAGGTTATTCCCTTCCCCTCTCTGGGCTAATCGAAATAAAAACGAAAAGTTTCAATTGCATAATGTTCGTATGCCCGTCTATCGCGTCCTATTTAGGTTGAAATTTTGAACAGCTAGTGGTTATATGATAAAATGCTTACTGATGTGAGTTTGGTTTGGCTCTCGTTCATGAAGCAAGGACTTCGCTGCGCTCGGTCCGTAGGTTATGACCCCGTGCCAAATATTAATTCCCGTCCGGTCCTATCACTCATTAAATAGGTCCTCAGTATTTCGGTTTTTTACGTCACAATTTTTATCACTAGTGATGTAATTGAACATGAAAAATGAAAAGTGTCATTCTTTTTTTGATAGGGAACATCGGGCTTTAGTGTTGACCTCTTTGAAAGATTTGATTTTCATCACAAGATCGGTCACAGTACAACCTAAGTTTCTTTCTTTAAACGGTAAGCGATATGTGCGTGATAATCGACTCTTGTCTCCTTAAACTTTCCACTTTCTAGCGGGTGGGATTTGCATGATCGAAGCCAAAAATGCTAAAAAAAACTAGGTGACTGTATTTCGGTTTAGTACGTCACACTTTTAAAAGTAAGGATGAAAAATGAAACATTTTACTCTGTTTAACGGGAAACGTCAGGCTTAAGTGTTCATCCTTTTTGGAACGGTTGGATTTGTATCACGAGATCGATCAGATCGAGAGTACAAATAAAGCTTCTGTCTTTAAATAGTAAGCTATCTGTGCGTGAAAAATGGCCCGTTGTACTCATGAGCTTTTCATTTTCGTGCGAGTGTGATTTGCATGATCGAAGACAAAAATAGCAACTGTTATAATACATTTAAAAAAAATGGACGGAATTGATCGGTAATTTGCTTGAAAATAACTACATCACTTCTCTTACTTTTGAAGGTATTAATCGAATGACTGAAATATGGCAACAAGCAAATGACATCAGAGAGAGGAGGTAACTTGACTTTCAGTAATAAACAATAGTTATCAGTTTAACATATTTCTTTTGGGAAGAGGAGAGAGGTGGGGGAAATGGACTGGACTACAGTTACGTTGTGAGATCCGCGCATCCAAAAGGCACTCTCCTGAAAACTCGCAACGGTATTCACCGCTGATTTTCCTCAGACAATTACAAGAAAATTGCCATTGGAGGGCACTAACACCGAGCGATCATTTGAATGAAAAAAATTCATGATGGCGAACGTTATTCCTTGTCTTCGAAAAATAACAAATAATTGCAAGCTTAACAAGCTTGCTTCCCTTTTAATTTAGAAATGATGTCAACATTACCTAATTTATCGAAATTCGGGGAAACTTCCTTTTCCAAGGCTACACGGTGAAAGCCAGACAAGTCACATTTTAGAATTATGGGCTCACTGTAGTAGAAGGAGGGTCTCAATGTGGTGATGGCTTCTACGGCTAACGGTTTAAATTTTGACCATGTTACAGTTAACGATTAACAGAAATTATTTTTTGATGTTAAATTTTTGTACAACTAATGGTTAAAATTTGACAATTTTTAGCTGAACGCTTATAAATTTTTTTGGCCGTTACATGGCTGTCGGTTAAACCCATTGAGACCCTTTAGAATTTAATGACGTCTTAAATCAGTGGTAAATAACTGACATTAAAAAGCTTCTTACCGTAATTGTTTGCTATCATGCGCAGCTGAAACCATAGATATTTCACAGAGGATTACGGTTAGATCGCACCATGGTTAGATTGCTCCCAGTTGGATCGCTCCAACCAAGAGTTAGATCGCTCCATCAAATGAGTTACTTCGCTCCCAACATAAGTTATTTCACTCCATGTAGAAAACCAAGGTAGAAGGTTGATAGAAGACAGAAGGACGAGAAAGAGTTTTGTTACACGAAGAAAGGGTCAACTAGTCAGCTTAGATGAGAGTATGTAAACAAAGTTAGTTGAGACGTCACACTTTAAATGGTTCCCGGCGCAATTTGAAAACATTTCAAACTCAAAGTTTTCCAAATATTCGCAAAGTAATTTAAATTAAAAATAACAAGTATTGGAATTGGAGAAAAAATTGCCAATTTTTTATCTGGGGTTTGGCTACCTCTTCCTTCCCAACCCCCCAACCCCAATCCCCACCTTCGGGGAATAAGAAGGACCAGAGGAAGAAAAGGAACTTCTTGCTTTGCCTGCCTTGATGATCATGAGTTGTGCGGCCTCGTCGAAGGAGTTCAGGTAAAGACGATAAGTATGCAACAAAATGCGCAGTAAACATCAGAATGTAAGGAAACCAGGAAACATTTTGGGAAAACATTTACCAAAATCGTTCTCCACGCCCTACTTTCAAAACTATACACCACTTAAAAGCTTATTAAGTATAGAAGAAAAGATGTAAAAGTTTTTTTTCAGCAAATCTAGTTTCAACGTTTTCTTTAACCAAAGAGCAAATGAAACGAAAGTTTGAAAGTTTGACCAGATTTTGTTGACAGTAACCTCAAATCAAAACACATAAATTTTTTTGTTACTGCCTACATTACAGAAATGAGCAAGCCAAATTTCATATCTAGTTCAACTGTTCAATCAATAAGTTGTTAGTGTGGAAATTGAAGATTTAATCAAATTTTAAATACTTTCTTTTATATTTCCAATATTGCAAATTCAAAGCTTTGAATCAAGAGAAAAAATAGTTGAAATACTGTTATTATTTATACTGCTATAAGTTGAAATACTGTTATTATTTACATACCGCTTAAAACATTCTGATAGCCAATCAGAGCAGCGAAATGGCTTTTCACACGAGCGTAAAGCGTTTCGTCCAATCAGGAGAGACTTGTCACAACACGCCACTGATTTCATTCAATAACTTCAGGTTCCTTGCGTGCAAACCTCTATAGCGAGAAAACTTTCGTACCAAAAGTACAATAATTGAACTTTTAACAATGACTCAAGGATCCACGACACTTGAATATTTCAATTGACGACCATATTATCGAGCAAAAAAACAAAAATACAAGAGCTAAAACGACGAGAGATGTGAAGCTACTCATTGAATTTCTAAGAAAAAAAAAGCAAGGAAATCTTGAAGACATCGAATATATCTGCAAGTTTATCCTTAGTGTGAAGCGGAAAGACGGCAAAGACTTTGAACCTTCAAGTCTTAGAGGAGGGTCACAATGGGGGAGTTCACGTTGACGGTTGACGGTTAAAATTTTAGGCATTTGACGGTTGACAGTTGACGGTTAATTGTTTGGACTGTCGTTTATAAAACGAAATAAACGCGTGAATTCGGCTGTGATGTTTCATAAAAGGTTACAATTTTTCTCTTATTATTTAATAATCAAGTTAATCCTATAATTTGTGCGTTAAAAATTAGATTTTTAGCCTTCAGCTACGTGTCTAATTAGTGTAATTATATCACCTTTACTGCCGCTAGACGTATTAATAACCTGCTCAACCAAGTGGTGTACTTGTATGAGGAGTCGCATGAAGATCTCAAAGTCCCTGCTTATCAGAGATTAAATCTCATCGATGCTTTCATCTGTCTCCCCGATCTTTTTGTGAGATTCTTCCACAATCTCTTCTGATTCTGCTCCGTTAGAGTCACTGTCCGAGTCACTTTCGAATTCATCCAACTGGAAAGGTTCAGGCAAAGTATATCATCAACACTCGGAGGGAAAACATGGAAATAGTATCTTTGCTCACGCCTTTTCACGACCCTAGTATGGAAATAAATCTTAGTATTATATGCTGAGATGTCAATGAAATATTGAGGTGATATATATCTGGAAAATACAACATTTAATGCAACATTTTAAAAATTATTAAGGACATCTTAGAGAGTATTTCTCTAACCCAAGGAAGGTTCACCCTCCTATCCTCCCTGATCATAACAAGCTGGAACCGTCAATAGTTCATTTATACATGAACTTTGGATTGTTTTTGAAATTTTTTTGTAGGTTTGTTCCTTCTTGGAAACCAGACCAATAACCTAAATGCCGGCCGGAAAAGGAAAAGATTATCTAGCAGCAATCGAAAGTTTTAAACCGAGTGAAGAGGGAGACTGTCTATAGTTGACCTTCAAGGGAATAATAGGTGCCCTCAATGGCAAAGTTAAAGAGGGTTCATCACTCTACGTCTTCACTGACGCCAAAGATCCACATCAACTCGTTACAGCAAGAGTTTTAGCCATGAAAATTAGGTTAAGTATTTACTTCTTTACCACAGGACTGTGTGGTTCAAGTGAGGAGGGGGTATTGGGAATTTCGGTTTTGCGGTTTTGGCTATTTTTTAGATCAGTTTTACGTTGGAGGGCATGCGTCTCGAATAACGCCAGAGACTTCGACCTTGCAATGTGGAACACTTACGTCGATCAGTTTGCGAACTATGGCTTCCAACTTGCCTCACGTGCCAGCAACAGAAGAAGCTCAAGGACCTCACGAAGCAATTGTCGATTGCGTCGCGTTTCTATGCGAAGAGGGGAAAGGAGGTGAGAATTTAATGCGGTTTTGCGGTTACCAGTTGACCCCAATGCCTCGCTCAGTAAGATTTTTCAGAGCAAACATCCTGGATCTTGTTACAGGAGAACTTAAAACATGTAAGTAGTACCAAACGAAGAAAGACGATCTCTAATTCTTTTGGTACAATGTTCATCAGGACATTAACGCCACATTTGCCAATTAGTCCCCCATTTGATGACTCTTGGTTAACAACTCCACTACAAATCTGATTTTCCTTTTTTCGGCTGGAGTCAAAGTGTTTTACATAATTCAGGCGTGTTGGTGTAGTCCAGGTTCGCGGGCTTCCTTTGCCGATGATACGGGAGACGATGGCGCCAGCTTTAAGCCACAACTAGAGGCACGTCTGTCATGCAGGCTGTCCCACTTTCCACCGAATGTAAAAAATGCCATAGAGAAAAGTTGCAAGTCATTTGCACGTAAAATTTGCTCAAATTATGACTCATCATGACCAGGTTCATAATTAATTTTATTTGCGCTTTCCTTCTCTTACTTATTTAGCAACCCCAAGACGAACCCAACTACTGATTCTGCTTTCTCGAAAATACTCCAACTTCCAATATCATGGCTCATGCAGTTGAAATTTACCGAAGCCTATTTTCAAATTACGCTGAATTGTTTTTTTCGTGTAAAAGTACAGGTTTTCTGGATCAATATCAGTATCTGGGAGACTACCCACCTACCCCTCCCCTAACCCAACATTAACCCTAACTTGTCATCAA